ACAAACTCTTCTGGCCTGAAGCAATCCTCCAGCCTTATCCCTTAAGAGGGCTATCCCTTAAGAGCCCTGAGACACTGTCGCCAGCCTTCTTTTGCTACTTTTGACTAGAGAGTTCTGTCATGTTTGTTAGGTCTAAGTAATATACAGTTTTCAAGTTTTCTGTTATCTTAGTAATCTTTTTCTAATTTTTCAATTGATTACTAAAAATGGCATCTTGAGGGGGCGACTGTGGCTCAGTGAGTAGCGCGCTGGCCCCATATACTGAGGGTGGCGGGTTCAAACCCGGCCCTGGCTAAACTGGAACAACAACAAAAAAAAATAGCCAGGCTTTGTGGCAGGGGCCTGTAGTCTCAGCTACTTGGGAAGCTGATGCAAGAGAATCGCCTAAGCCCAGGAGTTGAAGGTTGCTGTGAGCTGTGTGACGCCAGGGCACTCTACTGAGGGTGATAAAGTGAGACTCTTTCTCTACCAAAAAAAAAATGATGTCATATATAGGGGTTTCTGGCACACCTCCTGTGTAAGGGACACAACTATAAGCAGAACTTTCCCTAAAATGCAGACATTGTAGCCTAATTTTTTTTTTTTTAAGACAGAATCTCAAGCTATTGCACTGGGTAGAGTGCCATGGTATCTTAGCTCACAGCATCCTCCAACTCTTGGACTCAAGTGACTCTCCTGCCCCAGTTATTCTATTTTTAGTAGAAATGGGGGTCTCGCTCTGCTCAGGCTGCTCTCAAACTCATGAGCTCAAGCTATCCACCCTCCCAGAGTGGTATGATTAGGCATGAGCTACTGTGTCCGGCCTCTAATGTAATTGTTTGTACCCTCATATTAATCTGAAATTTTAAAAAAGAGAAAAAAAAACTAAGATCTTAAATTAAAAATGACTACATGGCTCTTTCTTCCTTTCCTTTTGTCATGATTTATTTATTATGTTTGGAATCAATGAATGATGTTGTACATACCTGTTTATATTATACGAGATATGTAATATACCTAAAGAAAGTTTGTGAGTATACGTAACAGATATTAAGAATTCTTTGTAAAGGGGCCTATTACTGCTTAGACCACAAGTGTATATTGTCCCATATAATTATAGCTACTTCACTCACTTTGAGTCCCTTTTTGCTTGGCATATAGATTTTTTGCCTTTTTACTTTGAGCCTATTTGAGTCCATAAAGCTACAAGGACTTTTCTTTAGACCTCATATTGTAAAAACTCATTTGTTGTAAGTCTATTCAGCCATATGATCTTTTTAGATTAATGAGTTAATTACATTAAATATAAATGAGTTAAATTTATTAATACTTTATTTCTTCTAGATATTTTCTCCTCATTTCTTCTCTTGCTACCTTCATTTCTGTTTTATTGATTTTCGTAATTAGTCTGATTGCTTTCTTAGTTTACTTCACATGAATTCTATAGATATTTTCTTTCTGAACACCTTGAAGAATGGAAATTATAAAAAGTTCTTAAAGATGTAACAATATTATTAATATTTTCAGACTTATATCATGCTGACTTCCATTGAATGGCAAAATTATTACTTTTTTTATTTTTAGAGACAGAGTCTCAGTTTGTCACCCTCGGTAGAGGGCTGTGGCATCACAACTCACACTAGCCTCTAGCTCTTGGGCTTAAGTGATTCTCTTGTCTTCAGCCTCCTGAATAGCTGGGACTACAGGTGCCCACCCCAACATGTGGCTATTTTTTTGTTGCAGTTTAGCCAGAGCTGGGTTCAAACCCACCATCCTCAGTATATGGGACCAGCGTCCTACTCACTGAGCCACAGTGACATGACATTTCTTATTGACATTTCTTACTTGGCAGTTTTCAGCATTCATTTATCTTGATAATTGTCTATTTTTTTGTTTATTTTGAACGGATTTTTTGTTGCATATAGTATATGTGTTTTGAAATTTTTGTTCTTTCAGCACTTTGACTCTTTTTTTTGATACGGAAAGTGTGTGTCAAAATCCACTAGTAATCTCAGAAGAGCATGCTTAGGCATGACACTTCTGTTTCCTTTAGTGGCCTTCAGGATACTTTTGTGTAGTTTTCAAATCTTTGATCTTCATATGTCTTTTTATGGGTCTCTTTGTGTTTCTCCTAGCTAAAGTGTGGTGAGTTTGATATTTTGTATTTTTTTCTTACCTTTGAAAATTTCTCAGTCCTTTCCACTGTGTTCTTCAACTTAGGAATTTCTCTTTTTTTAAAGCTTTTCTTTTTTGTTGATATCTCCATTTTCATGTTTTTACTTAGTTGTTTGTATCATTCCCATTTCACCCATTTACCATCATTAAGATAAAACTCTTAAGTACTTTAGACATATCAATGTTTCTTTTTTTTGTAGTTCATAGCCGAGGCTGGTTTTGAACCTGCCACCTCTGGCATATGGAGCCAGCACCCTGCTCCTTTGAGCCACGGGGACCACCCTGACATCTCTATTTTTTCTGGTTGATCCTACATTGTTTATTTTGTTTCTTCAGGTTATGTCACCCTATTATTTTTTACATGTTGTAATCTTAATTGATTTTTGAGGATTACAAAAGGTACCTTTCTTTTGTTTTTTTTGAGACAGAGTCTCACTATGTCACCCTCGGTAGAGTGCTGTAGTGTCACAACTCACAGCAACCTTTGAGACTCTCAGGCTTAAGGGATTCTCTCACCTCAGCCTCCCCAGTAGCTGGGACTATAGGCGCCCACCACAGTGCCGGGCTATTTTTCGTTAATAACAGAAGTTGTCATGGTTGTTTAGCTGGCATGTAACCACTGTGCTATGGGCAACGAACCACATGAGGCAGCTTTCACAAAATCTGTAATGTGGCTTTATCTTACAGGACTCTGACACAAATTATACTAAAGATTTGAGACAGTTCAGTATACATTCTGAAAGTGTTTTGCCTCTGGAATTGTGTGGATATTTTCTAGTTATACATTTTCCCCATATTTCCTCCTAAGAGCTTGTAATCACTTGCTAGACCTGAATCTGTCTGTTATCTTGGAATCTCTCTGGTGCTGTAACAATATTGTACTTTTTTTTTGAAACAGAGCCTAAAGCTGTTGCCCTGGGTAGAGTGCCATGGCATTACAGCTCACACTCACAGCAATCTCCAACTCCTGACTCCAGTTATTCTCCTGCCTCCACCTCCCTAGTAGCTGGGATTACAGGTGCCCGCCACAACACTCGGCTATTTTTTGGTTGCAGCTGTCATAGTTTGGCAGGCTGGGCTGGATTTGAACCAGCCAGCTCAGGGGTATTTGGCTGGTGCCTTAGCTACTTGAGCCACAGGCAGGGAGCCACAATATTTTACCATTGATTTCAGCTTCCCCAGTCACTTTTATAAACTATAACATCATAGTCCCTCAGCACTCTCCCTCATACAAGACATAACCAACCTATCTTTAGAAAAGCCCAGAAAGGCTTGGTGCCTGTGGCTTAAGGGGCTAAGGCTCCAGCCACATACATCTGAGCTGGCAGGGTTGGAATCCAGTCTGGGCCCGCCAAACAACAATGATGGCTGCAAAGAAAAATAGCCGGGCAGCATGGTGGGAGCCTGTAGTCCCAGCTACTTGGGAGGCGGAGGCAGGAGAATCAATTGAGCCCAGGAGTTGGAGGTTGCTGTGAGCTGTGATGCCATGGCCCTCTTCTCAGAGCGACAGCTTGAGGCTCTGTCTCAAAAAAATAAAAAATAAAAATAAGCCCTGAAAAGCCAATAGAGTTAAAACAGATCTCTATTTTTCTTTTGAGGAAAAAGTTTACTTTCATATGAACAATGCTGTTTTCAGATTGGAGAATGTCTGTGATCTATTCAGTAGGACAAACTTTTCTTCCCATATTTTGCACCTTTTGTCATTATCATTTTTTTCTTATTTTATTTTATATAGTTATATATTCTTGAGGCAGAGTGTCTTTCACCACAGGTAGAGTGCTGTAGTATTATAGTTAACAGCAACCTCAACTTCCTGGGCTCAAGAGATATTCTCACCTCAGCTTCCTGAGTTGCTGGGACTACAGGTGTCTGCCACACGCCCCACTAATTTTTTCTATTTTTGGTATAAACAGGGTTACACTCTGGCTCAGACTGCTCTCAAATGCCTGTGCTGAAGCATTCCACGCACTTACTCTCCCAGAGTGCTAGGTTTACAAACGTGAGCACTGCACCCTGCCTGTATATGCCTCTTCACATTGTGCTCACCTGGTGGGCTGAAAATTCTCACTTGCTTTTATAATCGCTAAAATGTAGTATATATTTCTTACTTATATGTATCTCAAGAATTATTAGGGTGTTGTGTCCGAAAAAGCCTCCCAAATTAACCCCAACCAACAAACTCGAGACTTGCTCCGATGTAAAGGGCATAAGGTGAGATTTTATTACAGACCCAGGAGGCCCGGGGGCCCCGGGCCTGGACTCTCCTGGCATGCAAGCCGAGGACGAGCCCCGAACTCGGGGTGGAGGACGTTTTTATGGGGTACAGAAAGCAAAAAGGGTAGGGTCCGGGTACGGGTACACTCCTGATTGGTGGTTGATGATTTCACTAGTAAAGGAGGATTTGGATTGGTACAGGTGAAGGGTAGGGGATTTCTTAACCGGGGCTAGAGGTGGTGTAGCCTAATTAGGAAGGAGAATGCCTAAATTTCAAGGAAGTAGATACCTATTGCCTATTATGGGAGTTGTTCAAGGGAACTGATACTTTATTGCCTATTATGGCACCTGTCTGTCTTAGGTGACTCAATTCAACGGCTTAATGGCTGTGCAACCAGGGGTGGGGGAGGCAGCAGGGAGTGGCCCTGCGGTTTAACAGAGCAGACAAGAAAATGGCGCTGGTCTGGCCCTTACAAGGGCATGTGTGCTGTACTATGCCATCTTGCTACTGTGCTTGGCATAATTTTAAAGATAAAATTTGTAATGTATATTTATTCAATTGTGATGAAAGTCAATGGCATAATTTTGTATTTTTTAATTTCTTTCAGTTATATCAAATCATTCTACCCAGAGCAATTCACAAGTGATGGGTGTGAATATTTTATTACCAGAGGTAATCCTCAGAAGATATGAAAATGATAGCCCTGGGAATTTAAACTCAATAAAAGACTGGGATAGGGTGTATGAGTATAAGCAGCAGAAAGTATGTTACAATGGACTAGACAAAAATTTAACAGCTATGCATGGTAAAGTCTACCAATGCAGTAAAGGTTTCAAAGTTGTCAGAAAATTATCAAATGTAAATAGACAAAAGATGATATATACCAAGGAGTTAACTTTTGAGTGTAAAAAATATGAGAAAGCCTTAAATCTACGCTCAAACTTTGGTAAACATAAAATAACCCATTTTCCGGAAAAGGAATATAAATGTAAAGAATGTTGCAAAGTCTTTAAATCTCGCTCAATCCTGTCTAAGCACAGAGGACTTCATACTGCAGAGAAAATCTCCCAATGTGAGAATGATGACAAGTGTCTTAGCCACAGCTCAAAATACTTTAACTGTAAGACAATTTATAATGTAGAGAAACCCTACAAAAGTAAAGAATGTGGCAAAGCCTTTAACAATTACTCAAACTTTTTTGTGCATCAAAGAATTCATTCTGGAGAGGAACTCTACAAATGTGAAGAATGTGGCAAATGCTTTAACAATTCCTCACGTCTCTCTATACATAAAAGAATTCATTCTGGGGAGAAACCCTACAAATGTGAAGAATGTGGAAAAGCCTTTAATCATTACTCAAATCTTTTTGTACATCAAAGAATTCATTCTGGACAGAAACCATACAAATGTAAAGAATGTGGCAAATGCTTTAACAATTCCTCACATCTCTCTGTACATAAAAGAATTCATTCTGGGGAGAAACCCTACAAATGTCAAGAATGTGGAAGAGCCTTTAACCAGTACTCAATCCTTTCTGTACATAAAAGAATTCATTCTGGAGAGAAACCATACAAATGTGAGGAATGTGGCAAATCCTTTAACAATTACTCAAATCTTTCTGTACATAACAGAATTCATTCTGGAGAGAAATCCTACAAATGTGAAGAATGTGGCAAAGCCTTCAAGGATTCCTCAAGCCTTTCTGTACATAAAAGAATTCATTCTGGAGAGAAACCATACAAATGTCAAGAATGTGGAAAAGCCTTTAACAATTCCTCAAATCTATCTGTACATAAAAGAATTCATTTTGGAGAAAAACAATACAAATGTGAAGAATGTGGAAAATCCTTTAACCGGTATTCACACCTTTCTGTACATAAAAGAATTCATTCTGGGGAGAAACCCTACAAATGTGAAGAATGTGGCAAAGCCTTTAGCCACTCCTCACACCTTACTGTACACAAAAGAATTCATTCTGGAGAGAAGCCCTACAAATGTGAAGAATGTGGAAAAGCCTTTAACCGGTACTCAGTCCTTTCTGTACATAAAAGAATTCATTCTGGAGAGAAACCATACAAATGTGAAGAATGTGGAAAAGCCTTTAACAATTACTCAGCCCTTTCTACACATAAGAGAATTCATTCTGGGGAGAAACCCTACAAATGTGAAGAATGTGGCAAATCCTTTAATATGTGCTCAACCCTTTATATACATAAAAGAATTCATTCTGGGGAGAAACCCTACAAATGTGAAGAATGTGGAAAAGCCTTTAACAATTCCTCAAATCTCTCTGTACATAAAAGAATTCATTTTGGAGAAAAACAATACAAATGTGAAGAATGTGGAAAATCCTTTAATCGGTACTCACACCTTTCTCGACATAAAAGAATTCATTCTGGGGAGAAGCCTTACAAATGTGAAGAATGTGGCAAAGCCTTTAACAATTCCTCAAGCCTTTCTGTACATAAAAGAATTCATTCTGGAGAGAAACCCTATAAATGTGAAGAATGTGGAAAAGCCTTTAACCGGTCCTCACACCTTTCTCGACATAAAAGAATTCATTCTGGAGAGAAACCCTACAAATGTAAAGAATGTGGCAAATCCTTTAACAATTACTCAAATCTTATTGTACATAAAAGAATTCATTCTGGAGAGAAACCATACAAATGTGAAGAATGTAGAAAAGCCTTTCGTCAGTACTCAATCCTTTCTGCACATAAAAGAATTCATTCTGGAGAGAAATCCTACAAGTGTGAAGAATGTGGCAAAGCCTTTAACGATTTCTCAAGCCTTTCTGTACATAAAAGAATTCATTCTGGAGAGAAACCCTATAAGTGTAAAGAATGTGGCAAATCCTTTATTAATTACTCAAATCTTTCTGTACATCAAAGAATTCATTCTGGAGAGAAACACTACAAATGTGAAGAATGTGGAAAAGCCTTTAACAGTTCCTCAAGTCTTTCTGTACACAAAAGAATTCATTCTGGGGAAAAACCCTACAAATGTCTAGTATGTGGAAAAGTCTTTAACCATTACTCAAATCTTTCTAGACATAAAAAAATTCATTCTAGGTAGAAACCCTATGAATGTCCACAATGTGGCAAATTCTTTAACCAGTACTCAAACCTTTCTGTACATAAAAAAATTCATTCTGGAGAGAAATGTTACAAATATGAATAGTGTCAGAGATCCTTTAACTCCCAGCATGTTAAAAAAAAACACAGAAACCCTAGAAATACGAAGAACGTGGTAGTACCTCCAAAATGAATTCTTTTTAATACTAAGCTCATAAGAATTTACACTGGAGAGAAATCCTACAGCTGTGAATGGTGTGGTGATATACTTATCTAGAGCTCAAACCTTACTATGTGTAAGAAAATTCATATTAGAGAGAAATCTTATAAATGAGAATAATATGGCAAAGGTTTTAACTGATTATTGTCTCTTAGTAAGCATAAGAAAAATCATGCCAGAGAAAAATCACAATATAAAAGTGTGGGGTGCTTTATGCCAGTAATCACAGTTTTCTGTACACAGTAGAATTTATGTTGAAAAGAAATGCCATAAATGTGAAGAATGTGACAAGTGTTTAACTTCTACTCAAATCATTCTCTATATGAAATTTATGACAGAGAAAACCCCTACAAATGTGAAGACAGTGTTGAATCTTATTCATAGGGATATTCGTTATGTGTGAGGAATATTACAGTGTCTTTACATATCTCATGCTTTTCCAATCATAATTCATACGGAAGAAATACTCTACAAATGTCAATCATATCTTAAGGTTGTGTTTATCCTGTTTGGTAGGGCTAAGGAGAAACAGGAGCAGATGATTCTAGGAGATCCCTTCTCCATAATAAGAGGAACAAAATTACCAGAGTGGGCTGCCAAGAAAGAAAAGCATTTCAGGGCTCGGCGCCTATAGCTCAACCAGCTAAGGCGCCAGCCACGTACACCTAAGGTGGTGGGTTCGAATCCCCAGCCCGGACCCGCCAAACAACAATAATGGCTGCAACCAAAAAATAGCCGGGTGTTGTGGCGGGCACCTGTGGTCCCAGCTACTTGGGAGGCTGAGGCAGAAGACTCGCTTGAGCCCAGGAGTTGGAGGTTGCTGTGAGCTGTAATGCCATGGCACTCTACCCAGGGGGACAGCTTGAGGCTCTGTCTCAAAAAAAAAAAAAAAAAAGAAAAGCATTTCAGGAAGGTTTTCAAAAACTGAACTGATGTTTGCTCTACATAAATGACTCTAAGAGGTGGAGATAATAGTCAAGGCCACAAAAAGGGATCTTTGCAGCATGCATACAAGTAAGGTGACAGCAGCCTCAAGTGACCCATTTTCATAAACAGTAAAATTTTCACCACTTTTATCACAGTTTACAAATACTATGACAACTTCTGGAAATTGTCTTAAAGGGATAAAAGTGGAGGCCTCTCCATTTGGGAATTTTGCCCTCTTTCCAGTAAAAATAATAAATATATTACCCCCTCACCACTTAACATAGATTTGGAAAATCAGCATGAAGTGGAAAAATCTCATTAGCCTAGGGTGCTCTCCACTTCATAAGGTAGATGTCTTCCTTCTCTGGAGTGTACTGTGCTTTAATGCTCACTTGTGTCTACTTGTTCTGCTCATTTGTTCCACTGTGTTGGTACCAGTAACTATGCTTTGTCACTGGGAACCAAAGACCGGGGAACACACACTTGACATCCATTCCCCATATGTGACATTTTAGTGCCAAAATCTGGGAGGAACGTGTACCTTTTCAGGAAGATAAGCTAATGGAACATTAGACATCCTGAATTCATGCTGCCTGATGCACATTACTTATTACACTTATAGCTCTCACTCTCTTTGCTTTCCAGGTAATGTCGCTCCTTACCTACACCTGTTCCATTTCTTTCTTCTTTTTTTTTTCATCTCCACAATGTACATTATCCACCAGTTTGGCCTGATATTTAAAAGCCAGGGGCCTCTGGCTTCACAAGTAGAACATTAAACCAGACTTTTAAAGTCTTCATAAGGAGAATTGGGATAAAGATACGACAAGAGAAAGCCAGGCCAGCATCAGTGCCCAAGAGCTGAAGGAAGCTTTTGAAATGGTTGCTACCACTAGGGAAGAAGGTTGTCAGGGACAAGTTACTCTAGGGTCAGGCAAGAAGACACCAGGCCAGAGCCCTTCCCGCTCCATGACTGTGGGTTCCTGGAGTCAGGAACGGCTCAGGAAGTGGCCCCTGCTGGGACCATCCCCTCACTAATAGAGAGATGTCCTGGAATTAACATTTCCTTCCCCTGGAGATGGGGGATCAAACTTGCCTTCCAGACCCTGTGAAATCCCTGAACCAGCTCTGACTCTGGAGTTCTTTTAGTTTGGTGAACACGTTCCAGCTTCAGAGTAAGGTCCACTTTTTAGATGCTGGGAAGGCTGGTTGTTGGGTAGCTGTCTCTCTGTGTCATAGTAAACAAACTGATGTTCATAACATTAGGGCCACCCCTCTGCTCTCCCCAAATATTTAGGGCTTCTCTTTCCCTCTCATATCTTTCTTAAAAATGGAAGGTAAAATACAAACCTAGTCCCTCTGCTCCCTGGTTGTTGATGTCTTGTTTATTTTTTTTAGTGCTTTCCAGCTGGCTTACCCCATTATTTGATGAAGACTGAACTTTAACCTAGAGACCTAGATCATTTAAAACCACAGGCCTCCTTCTCAGGCCTTTAAATAGAAAAGACTTAACTGGGATCGCGTTTCCATTCAAAATAGGAAAAAAAATTAAAAAACATCCACATCTCCAGGATGTAGGAGAGAGATGTGTATAAACTCATGAATATGAAGAAACATGGGTGGCAAGGAACACTAAAAGGAAAGAGAATGATTTTGTGTAGGACAAAACCTAATAATATTTGTCCTAAAATAAGTCATGGTTTAAAAGGAAAATATTCTGACAAACATAGGGCTTCAGCATGTCAAATATGGCCTATGTAAGGGATAATATGTGCAAATGTAAATTTATGAAAAATTTCGTATGTGAACAGGTTGGCCAAACTGAAAAGGGAATCTCCAAGTAAGTGTTAGTTTTGTTTTGAGACTTTAAAACCTCATCACTTTGCTGTGTATTTACTGAAAGTAACAAACATCTATTGTTCAGCAATAGTCTGCCACAATAGTGTTAAATCTGCTGCTCTGTATCTTTGGCCTGCCTGAAGCTATTATCTCCTTAGTTATGGGTGTTGAGATTACCCCTCAAGATTATGAGTTACTCCTTTCAAACTGAAGCAAAGAAAAACTGAAGCAAAAGCAAACAAACTGAGTGAACTTTATCATTTAAAACACTAGCCTCTTTTTTCTCACTGCCTGACATTTTCACTCCTTCCTCTGTGTCTTTAATTCACTCCTCATACCTCTTGGCTTTTTGTTGCTAAGATAAGATGACAGACTATGTATATATAACTGCTGCCATTCTTAAACAACATATTTTTTCTTTCACAAGATATCGCAAAACCGGACCATTTCTAGTTGTACAAACTGGGGACTACCTGCTCTCCTTGCCTTTTTTGAGCCTTTTTTGAGTTGTGACTTTCTTAATCGAATAAGGTGTTTCAAATTGATTTTCCCCTGCTCCGTCACTAGTGGCTTTTTTATGAACCTGTGGCCTTGCTCTGCTCTTGGCTTAAAGAAAGCTCTAGTTTTCCCCCACCCCTCAAGTGGAGGCTGATGGTCTATGTTGAACCTCCTTATAGACTCCTGTAAAGATCCAGGAAGACACCCTAGATTCCTCTGAGGGTGAGTTAATGGTCAGTAGTAAAACTCAGGCAGACAGGAGGTCATGTTAGCAAGAGGACTTGGCAACACAAAGGCTAAAAAGAGGCATCCAGGCACAGGTAAGTCTGAAACTCAGGAATTTAAGGTAGAACGTGGGTGCAAGCTTTTTAAGGGATGCCACCTGCCGCTGGAATCTGACCTGGAGACTCTGGGAGAGAAAATGCAGATCTCAGCCCACTCTAGCAACGTGAGATGGGCACAACATTGTCCACAGGTAATATTTGGTCCATGACTATGATCCCTTTATGGACAGCCAACTATTTGTTATAATGGCTGTAGGGATGCCCAGGCCCAAAGTGTACTCTACCCTCTCCTTACCTATGGAAAGCTGTGGGCCAAGGCTTTCTAATAAATACTGCGGCTACATATTCATTGCTTAATACTTCACTCTCCCCTCTGACTAAACAGTCTGGTTCTGTAGCAGGAGTGACAGGACAGCTGGAACACAAATTCATTCAACTTCTTACATGCTAGATTAGAGAAAAAGAGTTGACTCATCAGTTCTTTTAGATGTCTGATTTCATTGTTTTATTGTTGGGGAGAGAATTAGTGTCTAAATGGAATACTCAGATTATGGTTTCTCCCGAAAACAATAGCCTTCCCATGAAGGTACTCCATAAACATACCTGGTAGGTGTTTCTCTAGTGTCTGGAGGTTGAGGAAAAATGGCCAGAAGAAATCCATGTCCAGGTAGATTTCTTTATCTGGGAAGAGCTTCCCCCTGGGAAACCTCAGGACTACCTCACTACAGATTCACTTAATACCAAAACTGTTCGCACCCTCTGAAACAGGAAGCATGAGTATACATAGCCCCTTTGATTGAAAAATTAATGAGATACGGCTTTCACAAGTTTGTGCCGTGGAATAACAAGTGCTACAAATACAGATGAAAGTCAATCTGTTACCCAAATAGCAAATAGTAATAACACTTTTAATCTTTTTTTGCTTAAAGTTAATGTCTTTATAATGTGCCTTATATACATTGTTTTGAAATTATTTTGTAAATTATTATATTCTATCTAAGTCAGTCATACAGTACCTCAAAGACAGACACAACTTCTTATTTACTATGTATTTACAAACTGAGCTGACCAAAAAAGCTATTTGCATAGCCTATAGGGCCAAAATGTATTTTTCTCCCCACTGCTTTCTTGGAAAATAAAAAAAAGTAAAAAAACATAATTCCAAAATATCAATTAACACATTCAGAAAATACCATTTAATTTTCTACTCATAGAGTCAAAAACAGAAAATTTCTTTAACTCTTGTCAGAGTAGATTTTCACTAAAGCATTCAGTGATGAAACCACTGGCTGTATAAGATTTGTAGGGCAAACAGACTATTATATTTACA